TACTTCCACTCAAGGAAGAATTCCAAGCAGCTCAAAACCACTGCAGCATCGTAGGCAGGGAAGACTGGGAAGAAGAATGAAAGGGTGCAGATATAGTCAGGGGGTAGAGTGATGCACTCCCTGACGTAGCTCTGCATGTAAAGGATGCAAGCCTGCAGCACATCAGCGGGAATCAGCTGAACTCTGAATCGCTTGGCTGCATGTGTCCAACAGATGGCAGATGTTGCCAATCCCTTTCCCTGAGTCTGCGGCAAATATGACCACGATCGACCATGGCCCCAGGGAGTCTGCGCCGTCTGCGGCCAGCAGCCAGGATCGAAGTTCAGCAAGGGCATGGCCACCATGAAAAGCCAGAAAGGCCTCTCATGTGCACTTTCAGGATGGAAGCTGACAAGAGTTTCCACAATCTCTACTGCCTGGCAGGGGTGGGTCCTGAATGGCCTTTTGGGTAGTATTTTGACAAGGGCTACTATGGCTTCTCGCGAACAAGTAAGCAGTGAAACACATGCCGAATCCAGCACGTGCGACAGCAACAAAGAGCGAAGCCCGCTCGCCGGCATCGTCGCGCAACAGTTTTAGGAGCGCAAGGTGGCAGGCCAGGAAGGACCACACCAAATAGTATGCCTTAGCCCGGTCATGTAAGTTGATGTTCCGGCTAGGTTCCAGTGGGCCACGAAGTCTCCGCACCCATTACATTCCTTGTCCAGCGGCCGAACATGGCTCCAGAATGGAGAGGATAAGACCTGGGGTCAGCAGAAGCTGCTGTCCGCCCTTGCAAGGCTACAGCGAGAGTCTAGCACTGACACCTGCTGTCTCGCAGCATGAGGCAGGAAAGACAACTCAGTGGGGCACCAAACAAGGAACCAGCGGCAGCGGCCGCCATTGCGCGAGTTGCCTGTTGGAGACAGGAGGTTTTGAAGCTGAGCTCTCCGCTGCAGAAGCTCGTAAATGTCTTGCCTTTTTCTTGTCTGGGTATTCCTCCTCATTGAGGAAACGCGTGGCTGGAGGCGGCCTGGGATATATGGCATTGGAGTGTTGAACTCCAAGCAACGATTTGCTGAATGGCTTGGCCGGTCTCATTTCAAGCTCAGCCCCTCACACCACGATCTTGCCCTTTCTTGGTTCCGGCAAAATCGGAGGGTGTGCGTATTCTGGCTGGTCAAGGAGAGCTTGCCGCTGCTGCATCCTCAACCAGGCATCCCAGCTCATGGGACGTACAGGAGCGTTTAGTCGTTTCGGGGCTTGGGGTTTCTTAAACTCACTTCCCACACCACCAGCAAGCACACAAAGCACAGGATACAGAAGTGATGGACCCTTCTCTTCTGGTTCATTACACTGTCGGGCTCATGGCATTTTCACAAGGATTTTTTTACAATAAGCTCTGCAGGAGATCATCCTGGGTCTTGGGGTTATAGTCCCCTTAAGTAG